CCTGCCAACTTCAAAATTTATAGCTACAACCATATTTTTTTAATTTTTAAAAGCACAAAAAATACCACAACTCCTCAAAGTGATTTTGAAATGAACATTTCTTCATCATCATAATTATCCCATGTCAAATTGAAATGCACTCCAACTCAGCATACAAACAGAAAGAACATTTACCTCTGAGTCTCAGTGCAAAATATTACATTTGGAGATAACATCAGCAACTAAAAAAGTCTTTCAGTGGCAATCATACTCCAGTCATTAAAAACATCATAGATGAAGTAAAATGGTACATCTCATAGAATCAAGTTCCTCTGTGTGTGTGTGTGTGTGTGTGTGTGTATGAGTGTGTACATATGGTACTTTCTCACTTTTACAGACTGCACCACAATTTTCAAAGGCACTTTCACATAACTTCATTAATTTGATCTTCCAACAATCCTGAAAAGTATACAAGACAGGGATTTTTTATTATTCCACTTGACAGAGCAATAAACTGAGATACAGAGAGACTAAGTGGCCAAAACCCAAAACTCATCAGTGGCAAACCCTGGAAAAAGAATTCAGACTGTTGACTCCCAGACCAGTCCTTCAAAAGGAAGTTTAGGTGTGCAGTTTAAATTAGATGAGAAACGTGCAAAGTTGCTGGGTTTCTAAAGCAGTTTGAACAATGATTCCTTTTAGTCCCCTAGCATCATAAAGGTTCACAATCTATCTCACTGCTGGAAAAATGGGACTGTCACCTGGATTACAGAGAGACTGTACCAAAAGGCTGTAATTGAAGTATTTTCATTTGCAAAATTATACGCCTTTGAAAACCTAGTCAACATAATACTTTAGTTCAACAGTTTCTGAGGTAGAAAATATTAAAATTTACTGGAGAACATAAACTCTGGACCATTTATCTTTAAAAATAAGTAAAAGGATAATCTAGGGGGAAAATGTTTCAAGCAGAGTATAGGAGTGAAATTCAAATTTAGTGCTGGTTAAAAAACATGTTCAAAACTTGAATCTGTCCATACTGATTATGATTTTTTTCTCTGTTTCCTCCTTGAATCAGGATACCATAACAGGACAGTGCTGCAATATCCTTTTCACTTTTAAGTTATGGTGTCAAGTTTATATCTGCATCTGCTACATTTTTACAAAAATCGAACTGGCATTTGTAACCAATAAAAGTCAACATGAAAGGCAGTATTCCTGGTTATTTCAAATGACTCAAGGATTTCTTTTTCTTTTAAGTTCCTCAAAGAAGCAAGTGAAGTAAATGGAGAATACATCAGTTTAAATTTTTACCTGCATTTCTCTATACTTTTCAATTATTAGGCAAGCTCCTAAAAGACAATATTTTTTCCTTTTCTTTTTCTTTCCCCCATAGCAACTAGAGCAGAGCTCGGAACAGGCCACAAGGATTTCACTGACTACACAGAATACCAGGTAGAAATTCTCAGGCCTAGGGACAAGAAGACACATCAGAGTCTAGGTTTCTTGCCACTGGTGATTTTGCAGAGGGAAATGAGCAGAACAGATGATGAGAGCCATGGGGGCTAGAAGACAGGGGAGCAGGTCTGTGTGAAAGGGCTGTGGAGTAAATCCCTATCTAGAAGTTGGAGCAGGCAGTGTGGCTAAAAAAGACAACTGTCTAAAGGAACATATTAATCACTGAGTTCTAACAATTTTACACATAAGTCACAGACAGAAAACGGTTGAAAAAACTAATGTACCAAAACCAAAAACTAGTGTACCACACAGTAGTAATAACTGCTGGAGTAGTAATAACTGTTGGTTAGGCTATGTTCAGAATGAGACAATTTTCTGTTGAATAACTGGGACTTTCCTCTCTAAAATATGCCTATAAATTCCTCAGGCCACTGTTTAGTTTAGATCACATGATCTAGATATCTGTTCCTTCTAAGTCAAAATGTAAAACTAAGTCAGTCTAGTTTTACATTTTCTTGTGTCTCATTTTTTATTTGTCCCTATTCTTGAATACATAGTAAAGTAACAGTACATAGGCCTCTTTACCTTATTTTTTATATAAAATAAACTATATTTTATATACTTGAGGTTTGAACCACTTACATGCCACAGGTATATTTTAGAGTTAGAATCAAGATTCTTTAAAAGCAATAAAAAACTGATTCCACTAAAGGGCAGGAAAAAATGGTAAATTCAGGGTCTTGAAAATGTCACACAATAAATAACCAACCTTGAATACTTAAGCATAATGTTTACCTGACAATATCTGTGAATATAGCAACAGAATATTAGAATATAACAGAACACATGTATGATAGAATAGCAATATATAGACAAGCTTATATAAAGTATATATACTTCATAGAAAAGAGAATGTTCATCCAAAAAGATTACATCTAAGTTCACAAAGGACAGCTTTTTTAAAAAATAGGCCACTAAAGTCGGGTTTAGGGATGGTCAAATAGCTTGTATCCTGTGAATTGCACTTGATATTTCAAATTTATGTGAGAAATTGTTCCCTAACGTATTTTAAATGTGCATCTGTTACTGCTTATCTATGGGAGCTCAAGTACAAACTGCAGATCATCATCCAAAAATAAGGAGTATCTGAGCTACATATGATTTCACATGCTGCACAATAAAGAAGCCAACTCCTTTATTCAGAGAAAATGGCCCCATGGCCACGAGGCTCAGATCTCCTCAGTAGGTTGACTCAGAGTTAATCCTGACACAGAATGCTGGGGTTGTTGTAGAAATTCACATGTGTATTTGAGACAAACCAGCAGGAGGAATGCATGCGACAATCACGTACTTTGCGAAGCCAATGAAATCTTCGTGGTTGGTGTTGATGTAGGAGACTTGGATGTCGATCAACAGCAGTACCTATAAGTCCAAGAGAATCACTTCAGTGAAAACCCATCTTAAATATTCTCAAACACTAAATTCGGTAATAGCCTACAAATCATTTATCTTTATTTAATTTTAAAAAGGATGCTTCAGTTAGAATGAAAAGTTGCATTAACTTTTTTCATTAGACTCTCATTTTTACTCTAAACTCAGAAACAAAAGATCTATGTGAAAAGTATGAGTCCCACATGAAGACAACAGCATTATAGTTTATAAGCATGTACTTAACATGCTTACTTAACACAGAGCCAACTTAACACAGAACCTAGAATTATTCTATTCCTCTAAAACGTAGGTGTAATGTTCAAAAGGACGCATGTATAAAAATACATGTGGCACGAAGGCCATGGAGGAGCTGCTTAGAGCTTCCTGTTCCTGTAGACATTATATGTTGTTAGCCACAAAATAGCAATATCACCTCTTGTTTTTCCTCTTTCTGTCTCTTTAAGCTCCCTGTAGGCAAGTAGGAGAAGTATCTCATCAACCAACTCAAAAAGGCTATATACAAATAAATAGAAAGCCTCCTTGAGATCAATAGGCTTCACTGAAGGTGAAATCTGAGTGCATCCAAGCATTCGTGGTAACAGTTCATTGGCACAGTCTATATAATGCCCCCCAGGAGGTGCGTCCTCAGGAAAGCCTTCCCTGATCCTCACCCCACACCCTCACCCAAGACCAAGTTGGATCATGCTATTACTCTCATATAGTCTATATATCATGATAATATTTTTATGTATTATACCCTATACTTTTTCTTTGTGGTGTTTATCACAAATGTAATTAATTATTTATATTATATTTTGTTTGATGTTTTGCTTCCCTGCAAGACTGTAAGCTCCATGGAAGCAGAGATTATATTTATTTTGTTCACCACTTTATCCCCAGAACCTAGCATGATACACACAACAGGTGCCTGAGAAATATTTGTGGCTGTAAATTCTATGACTATCTACCAGTCTTGAAGAATAGTTTATTTTAAAGGGAGAAATTTATTCCCATATAATTAGTACACGGCCAAGTATTATTGTTTCTCATTCATTACCCAATGCTATGGTCTCTGAGGCTTTGATTTTGTGGCTAATCTCAGCTGGTCATCTGACCAAATCTTGCTGTGAGCCCCAAGGAGCCCTACCGAAAAAAAGACTAAATCACCCCAAACCCATACCCACTACCAACATAAAGTCAATGCCCAGGCACTAACTGGGTCAACAATATCATACTTGTATGAAAAACTTTCATATCATCAGATAATAGTTTTTTTCTTCTCTTAATGAAGAAAACTGAAGAGTTAGGAGGAGTCATCACTATTAGATTATCTGTGGCATTGCCACTATTCTCCCTACAATAAATCCAGATTCTATTAAATTTTATACCCCAAATCCATTTGGCTAGGAGTTTGGATCAATAAACCATAATATTTAAGCACAAATTAGTAGTTGTCACCATAAAGAGCAACATATCTACATAACCCTCAACATTGCCAAAGGTTGTCGTGAATATCTTGGACGTTCACAAACATTAACTTGGACTGCAGTACAGGGGAAAAGTGGAAGAAAAATAACAACCATGGCTGTTCTCATTCATATTCCTGGAAACTGGGAGTCTGTTTTCATCCTAGGAAAAGAGCCAGGTCGCATGTGGGGGATGAAAAGGAAAAAAGTACATTTTTTCTCTTTTTTTCACTCTCTCTCACTGCTTTTCTCACCCACAGTTATTGAAAATTTAGTTGAAGAAATGTAAAGCTACCCCTGGTAGCAGTAATCACCCACAAAGCCAACCATTTCAACATGCAATTACATGTATGGAAGCACCTGGAATAACAGCAGGCACACACTGAAGCTCAAAAAATCTCAAAAAACCTTTGTTTTAGAAAAACGTTCAGAGAGATTTATGGTTTTTCATATTTTTAATTCTGAAGAATTTCCCCCACACACAAAGTTTCCAGAGCAGAGGTTGGTAATAATTCCATTTTTTAAAAAAAACTGCAAGAATACCTCAAAGCAGTACTGGCACAGAGGTCTAAGGAAATGGGTCACTCTCTGACCAGCGACTTCAGAAGTACCATATGGCCTAAAGCAGCACGGAGTTCAGAACTCAAATGTGAAATCTATGCAAACTGACATGTTCATGTTACCAAAAACATGCATGTTTTTACTACGCCACACAGGTCAATATTAGCAGTGGCAGGCACCAGCTTCTTTAGGCAGTTGATTAACTGTCAAACCAGGCCACCTGAGATGGTCACTTAGGAGAGAGATGCTCGCTCCCTCCCTTAACTCCCACTTGGGGAATGAATTAATCACTACATCAGAGGTACAGATGGAAGACAGTCTCCCTTGAAATCAGAAAAGGCAATTAATTCTTTCTCATGTCTACTATGTGTCATAGCTCTTTAGGAATAACAAAAACAACCAAAATTAATGAAGAACTAAGAGCTATATCTGGATTACTTCATTCCATCCTCACAAAATACCTGTGAGTTAACTACCATTATTATTCCACTTTCAGATGAGGAAACTGAAGTGTAAAAGTAATAAATAACTTGTTCATTTACACAGAAAGTAAATGATAGAGCTTGGATTCGAACTCAGGCAGTCTGAACCCAGAGCCCACAATCTTTTTTCTTTTTTTTTTTAATAATTTTTTTGGCTGCATCGGATCTTAGTTGCAGCACATGGGATCTTCGTTGAGGTATGTGGGATCTTTCATTACGGTGCGTGGAACCCACGTCCCCTGCATTGGAAGGCGGATTCTTTACCACTGGACCACCAGGAAGTCCCTGGAGCCCACAATCTTAATGACAATGAAAAATTTGAGTGTCATTTCAGTAAAACAAAAACTCTGAAACATGAAACATGAAGAAGTTAACTGATTTAGATATGAACACAAAGATAATTAAGATAAGAATTGTACAACCTTTTCCTCAATACTGTTTTTACACAGGATCCCTAAGAGTTAAGTAGAATGTAATATCATTTGAACTTCATAGAATAAAGACACAAATTAAAACGGTTATCTTAGTTACTTAAGGTCAGGAGTACAGTTGATAACAGAACTCGTTTTCTTGGTCCAGCAGGAGCCATGACATTAGGTGTGTGGGGGAACTTCTGGTCTCGGGTTGTATACCTTGACCCAAGCTTGACTTCACTGGCTCATGAGTTAACATTGATTTGTTTATCTCTACTAAGTCAAAGCCTATTTTTTCCACTTTTGGCTATTGTGACTACTCCAAGAGTGAGAAAGTTGCAAAATAAGTGAAAACTATGAATAATCGTTAATTAACTTTCAAAACGCGATGATAGGGCTTCCCTGGTGGCGCAGTGGTTGAGAGTCCACCTGCCGATGCAGGGGACATGGGTTCGTGCCCCGGTCCGGGAAGATCTCACATGCCGCAGAGCGGCTGGGCCCATGAGCCACGGCCGCTGAGCCTGCGCGTCCGGAGCCTGTGCTCAGCAACGGGAGAGGCCACAACAGTGAGAGGCCCGCGTACAGCAAAAAAAAAAAAGTGGCAGCAATGAATCCCAAAGCTCGAGCAGAGAGCAGCAGGTTGTTACCAGAGTCACTCACAAATATCCCAACCTGCCGGGCCTCCATCCCTCCGTCTCTTCGCTTTCTCCTTCCACGCCCACCCCAACCCTACAGCACCCTCTAACACATGTTGCATATGTCTCTCTCCCTGTGGTTTGTCTCTACCTCTCTCTCTCCTATTCTGCCTTCCTCCTTTTCCCCAGTTCTTTCTCTCCTTCTTTCCAATTCACCTAAGAACCACAAAATCTTGGAATTCTAACTTATAGAGGACTTCAGAGATCATATAGACCAACATTTCAACATTGTACACGAGAAAAAAAAGTCCTGAGAAGTGATTTGCTCAAGAACATGCTGTTACTCTGTGGTGAACACATGGCTTCAGTCCAGTGTCCTCTCCGTGCTGTCACACTCGCAGCTGTGTCCTAGAACTGAAGAGCATCTGAAAACCTTTGTGTTTCCCATTATAATGTTTTATAAGTAACTAAGAAAACATTCACCTAAATTTAAGAAGCTTTAATTATTTTCACGTAGTCCTTAACTTTTTTCAATGAATTATCCTCACTTGAAAATAATCGTTCATTCGTAGTTAGCCAAGATTCGAAGACAATTTCAAAGCCACTCCTTACAAACCATGTGTATTTACAAAATAGTTAGAAATGCTTAAAAGAGCTGTTCTTAAATGTTTTTTATTTTTTTAGTCACAGGTTCCATGGATAAGCTGATGAATAGCTTTATCCATTCTCCTCAGGAAAAAAAATAAAAACACTAAACATTTTGCAAAACATTTCAGCAATTTATGAATATCCTGGTGCCCATCTGTGGGCCCTATCTTAAAGAAAATATGTGATATGTTTCCAGATTAGTGGTTTTCAAAGTGGGGTGTGTACATGCTAAGGGTACACATGATGATTCATGAAGTGTTGAAAAAAATAATGGAACTCCTATTACTGCTTTTTAAATGTTATCCTTCTAAGGTCTTTATATATGTTTATATTTTTAACATATGCAAGATGTTAGTATAGCAACACATGTATAAAATTCATAAATAAGTAAAAATAAACATATGTGGTGGTGTTCTCAGCTCTTTTTTTTTCCATTCAGGGATACGCCAACTGTTGGAGACCAAACAACCCTGGAGAGATCTTCCACTTCCCACAAGGACCCTGCCCACCAGGGAAGGCCTCTCCTCACCTGGTCCTTTGTCTTCCCTTCTCGCTCACGAATGTGGTTAGCAACAATCCTTTCCGTTTCCTCGCAGAGTCTGGGGAAGTTTGCCAGCTGTCAAGAAAAACAGATCTGAGTGTTAATACTCAAATATTTATACTGCAAAACAAAAATAAGTTATGTTGTATTCCAGAAGACATGCATTACCATTCTGGAAGCAGAAATAAAATATCCTAAAGAAGAATGGCTGCACAAACTACAATCAGAAGTTACTACATTATCTGAGAAGAAGCACTTCAAAATCAGCAGAGAAATTCCCTGAAAAGAAAACAGAAACCCAGATACCATCTAGCTCTATGCTGTACAGAGTTAGCACTTAATAAAGTTCAAAGATGAAGAAGACAGAAATGAGGAGGAAAATGACTAACATTTACAGAGCACTTACCATGTTCCAGGTTGTGTGCTAAGCACCACATGAATTACTTCATTCGAAATTCACAACAATCATAAAAGACAGATCCGATTATTAACCCCATTTTACAGAGGAGGAAAGCAAAGTGCAGAGAGGTTAAGTAACTTGCCCCAGACTACACAGTTCAAAATCAGTGGGTCCAGGATTCCTACCCAAGCCCTCAGACTCCAGAGTTCCTGGTCTTGTCCATCACTCTTTGAGGATGATTCACATTCCATGAACCACAGAGATCATTTTTTAAAATTCTACCCTAACAGATGTGTTTTTATATACATATTTTTGGCAAAACTACAGAAATAATGCATGTCAATCACTTATCCCATCTCAATTATGCAGGTAATTGTCCAAAATTTAGTTTGCAAAAATTAATGAATTATAGTTGTTTTCAGTGTAAGGAAGAAAAAGAAAAGGATGCTATCAATACAAGGATGTTCAAGGAAGCCTAACCTAAAAATGGGGCTTAGTCGGGTAAAGTTGTGTGGAACAGTTTGTGGGGAGAATGGGGCTTGCCAAGCACAGGAGAGGACAGGGACAATGAGTGGTCAAGGAAGTAAAGGAAGGTCAGTGCAGAGAGCAAGGGGATGGTCTTTAGGCAAAGCTAGAATGGTAAACAGGGGCTTGATCCTTGTACACCTGTTAGGAATGTTGGCTTCTGAAGCAATTCAGACGGAAAATAATGGGACTTGGACAAGGATGACAGCAATAGAAATGGAAAAAAAGTGGGAAAATTCATGGTTTATGACAGGCAAAGATGAATTCCATTTATTATAAAAAGCACTTGCAATAAGATTAACACTAATATCTCACATAAAAACAGGCAAAAAACGCGATTTAATTTAAAAAGAAATTTAATGGCCAATAAGATATTAAACTGCACAGAGTAATACAAAGAAAGATAATAACTACTATGTTGCCAAGTTACTATAATCATTTTTATAAGACTTAATGCAGGTGAAGGTGTACTGAGACTAGCACAGTTTAAACTTGCTGAAGGGACGTCAATGAGAATAATCTTTCTGTTAAGCAATTTGGCAATATGTTTCAAAAATTTTAAAGACACACACACGTCAGTCTAATTACTTCATGGAATTCTGAGCTAAAGTAATAAGGAAATTCATCACAGCGTTACTTGTAATAGCAACAATAAGACAAATAGACATAACTCTATAAGCCACCTAAGTATCCAATGATGTTAAATAAATTAAGGTAGACCCACTAATGGGATGTAATAAGCCATTCCAAATATAGCTAATATTTGATATAATACTATCTAATTTATAAATAATATCTAATAACATGCTAAAGTGTCTATGACACTGGGTGAAGAAAATCAGGCTACTAAATATAAAATGTGATTACACACAAGCATATACACACACTCATAGTCACAGGCTACCATATACACTTGATACTCTTTGAGGATATAGCCAAAGACCTTAAAAACTCCAAAATTCTTGAGTAATACTGTAGCACATATTTCCCCTAACTTGTATGCTAGGCCTCCCTGAGATGTGATTGCTCCATGGTCACTGGAGTCACTGTGCGCACCTACTTTATAGCATGCATGATGCACATCAGTGTCTTAGCAAGACAACAAACTGCACTACTTCATGGAACCACTGTGATTACACATCACATATAAATGTTAAATCACCTAATGCTGTAAGTCTGCTGTCTGTGCACAGAAAAGAATCTGCACAAATACTACAAAATGTTAATAGCAACAACCTCTTTGAATGATGGGCTTATGCATAATTTTAATTTTTTTCTATATACATGTCTGCATTTTTCACATTTTTCCACAACGAACATACTTTTTAAAAAAATTTTTGGCTACATTGGGTCTTCGTCGCTGTGTGTGGGCTTTCTCTAGTTGTGGCTAGAGGGGGCTACTCTTCGTTGTGGTGCACAGGCTTCTCATTGCAGTGGCTTCTCTTGTTGCGGAGCACGGGCTCTAGGCGCTCGGGCTTTGGTAGTTGTGGCACACGGGCTCAGTACTTGTGGCTCGCGGGCTCTAGAGCACAGGCTCCGTAGTTATGGCGCACGGGCTTAGTTGCTCTACGGCATGTGGGATCCTCCCGGGCCAGGGCTCTAACCTGTGTCCCTGCATTGGCAGGCGGATTCTTAACCACTGCACCACCAGGGAAGTCCTAGAGTACTTTTATAACAACATCATTAGAGCATAGAAACCTGGCTGCCTTGGTCACCTCAAAATTCACAGCCCAGTGTCTGTTCATGAGATCACCAAACCATCACCCCCTTACTGAGACTCCTAGCTGAATCCTGAGATCTGTGCTCATTTAGGTGCTTACTTCATAAATAACTTGAAGACACAAATGAAGCTTCCATTTTGAGTTTTGGAAACATTCTTTGGGGACAGTTCTATCATTCCGGAAGCCGTTTTATACTCTGAGAATACTGCAAGTTATTTTTCGTAAGGCCTATAAAAAGTCTCTAAGTATGGAAGGGATAGCTGATGAATACTTGTCCTTCTTCTTGACTAATGCAAAACTAGGTGGCACATCCGGCACAAACCACTAGCCTGCACTAGGCCACCAGAGCAATTGTTCCTCCTCTGCACTCAGAGAGTACCCCAAGCTAACATTGCATACTTGCTTTTGATGATAGCCACACTAACGTAGAACCACACTCCTGCAGAGAAGTGACTACATAAGCAATAGCGGTCTACTAAATAGGATGGGGATGGCAATAGCATTTAGAAAATGGATTATAGCAGATTATTTCTAAAACACCAAAGAGTGGCAATATAAATATTTATTCAGAAACTAAATACTTGATAGCTGAAGGACCACAGACTAGTATGCAGACATCAATAAGTCAAGGAAAGGCCAAAATGATAAGAGCATCCCATGAAGTAGAAACATCTAAGAACCCTCCAATCTACTGCTAGGCAGGAGGATTGATTTTTTGTGTGTGTACCTCCTGATCTTTCCAAGCTCAATTTCATCAGGAAAGGAACCCGCCAGAGCCATATTTTTGTATCTACAACTGAGAAAACTGGATGTAAATGAGCCTAAATTCTAAGTGGGATAAAATGGAAAGAGAATACACTAGAAGAACTGCCCTCAGAGAAATATTGAAGGGGACAGTAAGCAGGAAAGATCTAGGCATTACTGAAAGGCAGTAATGAAGCCAGTACAGTTTCTAATTGGTTGATCTTAAAAGGTTGGTAGGAGTGTAAAAAATGTTGTGGGAGTATAAAAATCAAAATGATGGTTTTAATTGCTGGCTCCCAAGTGTAATGCTCCAGTCCCAATTCTTCATAATACATATAGGAAGAAGGCAAAAAAAAAAGTCCTACTGACATTCAGAATGACTTCTGAGTAGGCTTTCTGCCACTCATTTCATTACCTCATTCAGCTCAGGTTGCATGACATTCTACTTAGCTTTAACAGATACTCAGCTGATTGCTCACTTCAATTCATTGCCTCTCTTCTACGTCTCTTACTTAAGGTGCAATCAGTTTTCTCAACCACTTAAGTCATTGTAATTTTCAATCTCTTTTGCTCTGGATGTTGAACTAAAAGCTTACCATTGTAAGAACACAATTTTTTGTCAAAGTCATCAAAATTTTAATCATGTGTGCCAAAATAATATTGACCTAGAAATCACCATCATTAGATTTTTATTCTTCTATTAATTATTTAAATATTCTGCAAATTGATTTATACAGGCTCAAGGAATTAAGGCTTTGCTATTGGATATAATAATTTTATATTCTTAAATTTATTTCACATCAGTCATTCATTTAACAAACATTCTTTGGGCACCACTATAGGCCAGCTCTGAGCTCAGTTTATGTCAAAGCACCTGATATTGGAAACCTCACAGTCTTGAGTGGCAGGTTGACTATACAGATAAATTGTAATGCGAGAGAAATATTTCACAAAAATCAAGGAGAAACACAAAGAAGTAAGTGGCTAAACCTGCTCTGAGAAGGCCTCAGAAGATTTGACGCTTAAACAATGACAGCAAAGTTTCCAGACGAAGTTGAACATCTATTAAATGATAAATTACTTCTAAATAGCTTATGTTAAAATTATGTTGAATATTCTTAAATAATAAGGAAGATTAAATGGAGTAATAATACAATATAATGTATTTAGGAATCAAAACTTTAAATATATAATTCTAAGAGAAAACTTTATACTTGTTTTGAGACAAAGTAGCACCATCATTTTTTTAAATACAAAAACATGCTTTAATAAGATCCAATATTTTAAGTATTATTTAGGGTAGTGTTTAATTATTTTGATGGGACGTCAATATAAAAATTTAATTTTAAGCATGGAGCACATTTTTCCCTAGAGGAAAAAAAATCACTTGAAAGACATTTCTACTCAATAAAAATAAATTATAGACTTACAAAATGTATTAACCATTGATTAATCCGATCATGAGAGCCATACTATTAGGTTTCTCTTGGAACAGGCACAAGGCCAGGCAAGATTCTATACCTTGAAGAGTAACTAGTTCAATGCCTTAAGCAAAGACTCAGCTTCTTAGGTAACCATCTGTTCACAGTTCCATTGCAAACACCACTGAGAAAATGAACCAAAACCAGAATAAAATTTCTTTCATGTGCATGATTTGAGTTGATGGTTTGGCTGACCTAAAGATA